TGTTGAGTCCTCCACGCCGGCCATGGACAGTATTTTGACAATTATCAAGACTTTGAAGCAAAGCTAGTTGTCAATGATCGGTTCCCCCTTTCCCAGGCTATCAAAAAAGTAGGAAAGATAGTCCACTGACCAATGATGAGGGGGATAATGGGCAGAAATATCCTCGCGCATGTGCAGTCACAACAAGAGTGCATTAAATGACTCCCTCGGTAAGATGGGATGCGTTAATTGCTCGGCAAGACCAGGAAGGCAAGTATTAAATGCTCTGAGATCCGCGCATTAAATGCAGAAGCTTCTATCATGTGAAAAGGAAGGCTTATTGCTCGATGACTAAGCACCACCTGTCGCTTTCTAGATGAGCCAATGAGGAGCTTTCCCTCCAAGAGACCCAATAGTCCGCAATGATTAACTCCAATAAGGTATACATAGCTCTCACAAACACAAGTCTAAGGTACGCGAAATCTCACCCAAGCAATAAAATTGTGCTTTCTCGCTTTTCTCTCACATATTGACTTGATCATCGGAGGGGTCGCGCCAGAAAATACTTCGACACCCTTCTAACCTTTCTTTTTGAGTGACATGATCTAGTTCGAGATCTCGCGAGAGTTTCCTCACTTGTCATTACAACTTTCAACATTTATATGCTGCAGAATCTTCAACTTTCCAGGCAGACTCGAGTTCACTAGGGGAGAGATATGTCAATTCATTCATTATGCCAAAATCCTCGTGCGCATATAGGTTCATCAAAATTTGTTTTTGATGTCAGTTTGATTCCTAATAGTATTCAAACAGTTTTACTTGCTCGTCTTCTCTAAGCCACCCTAAGAAGCAGCAAAATGCAATGTTAGAATACCCAGAAGACTCCACCAAATTCTTGGCGTTTATGTTAAAGGCAGAACATTGGTTGAACTCATACCAGCATGTAATTAAATGCAGGGATTTTCTTCTGGGTACCAAACTCCGGTAATCTTTTTCCCGAAGCCGTTTTAGATGACAATCAAAACAAATGCCAGATGAACGTTGGCAATAGCTTTTTCCGGCATATTTCCCTTAATTTCTAGTAACAAATCACATAATTTGAGGATAAAATAAAATAATTTTTTTGCTAAAATTATAAAGAACGTAATCATTACGGTAATGTTAAACAAACAATATAGTGAATGTGCAACATGAAAACATGATAGTTGAGGGTTATGAGAGAAAAGGTCACGGTGAAGGGTCAAATTATCATTTAACCTATAAATTTTTACTGTCGACCTGCCCTATTATTAGACCATTTCAACAGTCCACTTTAGCACAAATGTCACCACTCATAATGGCTGTTTACATTTTTGATTATTTGTAAATTTCGATATTACTGATGGGACTCTTCTGAAAAAGCCTATGATGAAGACACATGTCCTCGGGGATTTCCAGAACAATGTTGCTCGGGTTCAAGCACCATCGGCAAAGCTTCCTCTCCCCGAGGTACCTCTCATATAGGATCACATATTCGGTACAGTATACAATGACATGTGTCCTCGGTCACCATGTACCTCGGGAACACACCACCCTTGGTCCCCCGAGGTGAGCCTTTCCTCGGTGCCGAGGGTCACTCCATCCCGGACGCTTCCTCTACTCCCGGATAAAGTTACTGACGTACGGGACATCAGCCTATGCCAGTCTAGACTATTCATCATGACCTCGTCTTACACAAGTAATGTCAGAACATGCTGGAATACAGAAGTCATAGCCAATACGTGACGGACGCGTGGCATATGATATCACATCAAAAACAGGCAAACCGCACGCTATTGCTGACATGCGCTTTGGGAAGCAAACAATTAATTGCACCCTTCTGTTGACAAGACCGCATTTAATACGGTAAGGTTCGGATATGAAAGGCAATAAATGCTCCTATTACAGAGCATTTATTGCATCCTTCCCGAAAGGAGCATATTGTACCGTCGGCGTCCCGACAACTCAACATTAATTGCTCGGGACCCCGAGCAGTCAATTAGAGAAGACATTCCTCATCAAACCAATACACACGCTGCCAGTGCCTAATGATCACCTGCTGACCACACTGACAGCAATCATGAGCTTCTAAGGTANCCCGAGCAGTCAATTAGAGAAGACATTTCTCATCAAACCAATACACACGCTGCCAGTGCCTAATGATCACCTGCTGACCACACTGACAGCAATCATGAGCTTCAAAGGTATAAATACCCCTCCCAAAAAGGCAAATGNGCTGCCAGTGCCTAATGATCACCTGCTGACCACACTGACAGCAATCATGAGCTTCAAAGGTATAAATACCCCTCCCAAAAAGGCAAATGGGAGGCAATCACAAACTCTCTACTACGAAATATCCTTCTCAGTGTTTTCTCCTTCATCTCTCTCATTCAAAGACTGACTAGATCGTCGGAGGGGATACGCCGGAAAACACTCTGGCGCCCTTCTAACCTGTTCTCTTTTGTTCCAGGAAATACCTTTCGCACGTACAGGATCGTTCCTCCTTTCCCAGGATCGTAAGCTGTTTCGAGCAGTGTGCTTGACCGCTCAACCGGCTCACCCAAAGTTCACCAGGGGAGAGATCTGTTCCCAATATTATATATATATCGTGCAGGATCAAGCCCGCACAGATATAATGATAAAATATACATTTATATATACTTGTTCTTTCCTTTCATTCTTTCATCCATACCAAACAAAAAAAAGAGGAAAGTAGAGTTTTCATAAAAAATTTATCATTGCTACTTTTCATCCTTTCGTCTTTCGATTCATCTTTCAAATACACCATTAGACTTTAACATTTATCCAAGGAGAAATATTAATGGAACCTTATACTCAATTTGTTGATGTAATAATATGACAGATGGCATGATTAAAATCGCATTGTTGGAATTATGTCTACTATTATATGTATCTCAATAGATTTTTAGCCTATGAAAAAATTATCAACGGTGGGTATGTATGACAAATATATGGGATTTAAGTATTAAATTTTAATTTAAGGGTTAATTTGAATACATAACAATAATAATCAGATCGAATTAGCATCAAGACATCTAAATCAATCAATTAGTATCAAGAATTATTCTATACTATTTGGTGGGAAACTTTAATCTTTCTGTTTGCAAGGAATCCCACATCGCCACAATGGAAAAAACGAAAAACGGATCGATGAATATATTTAAATAATAATTTTTATAATAAATAATTAAATTGAATAATAAATTATGTGTAAAATAATTAATTCTTATTTCAATTATTGTTAAACCACCTTATTGATCTATTGTACCCCTATTTGAGTATTTAATCTATTATTTGTTTAGGTATTTCTCCGACCCGTTATCTATTTTATTTTTCTTTTTTTTTAGTCTATGGCGAAGTTTCATTGTAAGATTATCATTATTGAGTACTTTCATGTTTAATTATATTATAAATTTATTATATTTTTTTTTTCAAAAAAAATTGATGAAATTCCAATACTATTATATATTATAATAATACGATACTTTTGCATACCAAAAAATCAAATATGATATATATTTGACTAAATACTATTGATAAAAGAGTTAAAAAGAATTTATAAGTCAACACTATTAATAAAAGAATTTAAATGAACTTAAAAGTCAAATAGGTATAAGAAGTAAAAATTAGGTGAAAGTAGTATATGGGTATCATTAACTTTATAATAATAATTAGGGACAATAAAAAATTAAATTTTTTTCACAAATTCTAAAAGGGAGTGGTGGTCCTAATTGAATCTATAATCAGTATAGATTGATAAGAATATACTAAATCGAATATAATATCTGTCACAACACGTGGATATGAAAAGGTGGTAGTGGTCCTAATCTATTTCCCTTTAATTACATGGGCCGTGGGTTGCTGGGTTGGCGGGCACTACCCCCAGCTGTCTTTTTAGAAAAGTTGTCCATATAAGTTAATATAAATTATTAGCGATGAATATGGATATTGATGTAGAAGTATGAAAACATTAGCTTAGCTGGTACCTGCTTCTACATGTTGGAGTCTTAATCAAGTACCAAACACAGCGTAAGAACGGGCTCAAGTTTTCTTCCAATATAGAGCACTAAATGATTTTACACCTTTGGGTGGCCAAAATTATGGAGTTGTGGGAACGGAGTGCAAAGAGAGGGGAAGAAAATATCGACAATAACTGGGAGATCATCCCATGCCTTCAGTTAGTCCTTCGTTGATTTGTACAGATCTTTCTAATTTGTTATACTCGGTTTTTTTGATGGACGATACCAAATTAATAGATATGATGTTAATCGAACCGCGTTTACACACCAAGAAATTAAGAACATAGATTCAATAGCTAGACAAGATGTCTAAATAAGAACATCCACGCCCAGACTAATAAACTATTCATATCAAAAGGGTGAGTTTGAAATCGAGCCGAACCTAAGTAATTCGATTATTTTACATATAAACGAACCAAATTTTACGGGTTTAAATCGAGTCTAAAATATTGTTCAAGTTTAGCTCGTTTAAAATATGAGTCGAACTCGAATCGAATCTTATCCGAGCTAAATAACTCGATTAACACTAGTACCGATCACCCGCGCAAGTCACCTTCCCATTGCATTACATTACATTGCATCAAACAAAGGCTTAAACCTTTTCTTCTGTTTTTTGGGTCCAGCTAATACACGGGGAGAGGGAGGAATTTAATATGAGCAATGCTATTAAAATTTAATTTATTGATCTAATTTGTTGACTAAATTAAACATTGAAACTTTGTATTTATTGAATAGTTATAATGAACCCACATCTTAGCATTAGTAGTTTGTCAAATTCTGCTTAGTTTCATCAGCATTGTTGGTTTGCTCATTTGAGCTACAGATTCATCGCCTCCTATATATTCTTCCATCGTCCCCTTAAAACCAATTCAATTCGACCCAGTCCCACAAGNCATCAGCATTGTTGGTTTGCTCATTTGAGCTACAGATTCATCGCCTCCTATATATTCTTCCATCGTCCCCTTAAAACCAATTCAATTCGACCCAGTCCCACAAGAAATCATTATCAACAGACACATCCCAATCCCAGCTACCATTTTCCATAACTTGACAAGGATTATTGGCAATGGTGCCGTCTCCCAAGGACGCGTTATGAGTTGGTGGGCTTATTCTGATCTCTGTTAATTGCTGGTGTTGATGAGATGTTGCCTCATTACCAGGACGAGGTTGGTGAACTGTTTCTTCACTTCTCACTACTTCTGACGGTTGTGGTCTGTTGCATGTTCGTAAGCTTGTCGATTTTAAGTAGACTCGGCACAAACTGATTTCTTGTCTTAACTGCATAATTTGTGGAAATAATATGATAAAATAGGCAGAAGATATCATGGATGAGATTTTTCTATCCACCNCGAGGTTGGTGAACTGTTTCTTCACTTCTCACTACTTCTGACGGTTGTGGTCTGTTGTATGTTCGTAAGCTTGTCGATTTTAAGTAGACTCGGCACAAACTGATTTCTTGTCTTAACTGCATAATTTGAGGAAATAATAAGATAAAATAGGCAGAAGATATCATGGATGAGATTTTTCTATCCACCAGCTAAAATTAATTTGTGGTAGTTACAAATACATACCTTGATGCAAGGGAAGGTCTATTCATCGATAGGATTAATGATAGAACTATGCATTGCACATTTTGTACACAGCTAGTGTTTAAACACTTAAAACTGTTCTCAAATCAACAATAAATTTTACCTTTGGTGGAGTTGCATTACTTGATGAAGAAGTTTCTCCTTCAATGGCTCTATACTCATTCATCTTCCACTCGGTCTTTCTTCCGTCCGGAACTCTTCCTCTATAGAAAACCATGGTTCTCTTCACTCCAATTATTCCATTATTCGAGTATACATAGCCCAGAGAACCACTGGCTTTCCAATATCCGGTAGTTGTGAGCCGATTAGGCCTTCCTCCATGAGCTTCTCTCTCTTGCCGAGGGACAAAGAAAAACCACTGGTCAATGTTTCCCTGACATAACTCTCCTGCAAATCCTGGCTCCAAACCCCCCCCCCCCCCCCAAAAAAAAAAAAGCATGGAAGTGAGCTTTTCATGATCTTGGTTGGATTCTAGTTTTCTTACTACAAGTCTATACTAAATGGAGCTTGTAGAACAAAAAATAAAGTAGTAAAGGTTTAAACAAAGTGAGAAACCAAAAGGCTAAGTGAAAATTAAATCTCACATATTTCTGTTATCTTGTGAACTATGAAGAGTAAAGAAAATTAAAGTAAAGTAAAGATGATATAATTGAACTGTTAGAACTATACGACACTTATAAGAATCATCGAAACATAGAAAATGAAACTGCAAGATGAGAATTTTACTAACGTGGGAGGTCCCATGGACTGTACTTGTATATATCAACAACCGGTATTACCGGGTCGAGGTCTTCTCTAGTTCCTTCAAGCTTGTTATTCAGATAGAATGAAACTAATTCTTCTTCGGTTGGGTAGAACCTAAAACCTGGTGCCTGATTATCCATATCTCTTTCTCTCTCTCTACCAACTTTTATTCGAGATATAAGTGTATGTATGTATATCAAACTCGTCCCTCAATCCAGGCTTATTTTCACCTATGTTTTAGTTGTGTATTTAAGGTGACGAGAGAAATGAGCAAAAAAAAAAAAAAAGGTGGAGATAGAGAAAGGAGAGAAAGTAGAAAAGGTTGATGCCGTTCACATATGACGCTGCTTCACCGGAAAACTCCCACGCGGCTGTGGAAGAGAATTTTGTTCTCGTCACTTCTGTTTTACGTCCAATACCTTCGATACATCTGTTATTGCCTTGGAACAAGCTTCAATTGTCAAACACCTAATGATTGCCTACTTTAGTTGAAAGACAAGCTTCTCGGATGTTTCTGTTCTTAAAAGAAATAATATTATTTAAATTTAATTTACTCGTACAATTAATTACTATCATTGAATTGATTATGAATCTACACAAATATTGAAATTCACTATTAAGGGCTAAGTCAAGAATATCAATGAGGGGAGAGGACTGCAAAATATAACTGAAAGTAATTCACGAATGACAAAAAAAATTAAGTTCAAGAATGACAAAAAATTAACACTCGAAAATAAAATTATTGTGAAATAGTAAATTTAATTTTTATTTAATTAAAATAAAATCTGAAAAAAATGACACAAAATAATTTTTTTAGTATATTTTATATTTTAACCCAATTATATTTATTTCAATAAAATATAAGTCCGTAATAAAATCATTTTTCATTTATTTGCAAAATTTAGTGGAAATTAGTATCGATCTTAAAGAGAAATGCCCTATTCGAAATAGCTTGAAATTTTGTTGGGTTATAACTTTTTATCTTTTGTATACAATTGTTTTTTTATTGAGTTATAAACTATTAGTACTAAAAAAAATGGTAAATTAAAACAAAAAATTATTCTTAAAAAGTAGTGAACATTGTATTAGATAAAGAGAAATATTATCTTTTGGTAAATATAATGTATTAAATAATTTTGTAGGTCCTGCTAACTTTGCCATAACCTTTTTTTTTTAATGAAAATCAAAGATATTAAAAAAAAAAAAATTGGACCTAAGTCCTTGGACATGGACGTGGGTTGATGGAATGAATATGGGTTAATGCGCGCAGCCTAATAACAAGTTTTGTTTTGATCATTGATGAGTTATGCAATGTGCATAGTGCTACTGACTTGCCAAATAAGAAACTTAAAACCATTGAAATAACTCACTGCTCTCTCTCTCTCTTTTGGAGCATGGGTATTTTGTTTTTGAGAAATTGTTTTATGAACTTGGCATGCCACGGCATTATGGTGCTCATTGTAGGATCAATAGATCCTACAAACTCACATTAACTAGCTATCGATCTAATAATTATTAGAGCAATGATACATTAAAATTAAAATTTAAACTTAATAATTATAATTATTAATTTTATTATGGATCTCAACATTTATTGGGACTAATTACCAATTAATGTGTCATATTATTTGGGATCCAAATAATAAAAAAAATATGTATTTATATTAAATTAATGAGAAAAGAAAAATGAGTTGAATTGGATAACTATATGGACCCATGTCTTTTTTTTATTTATACAAGACCTATATATATGATAAATAAGTCACGTCTTAGTGGAAATACCATAGTTCCATGACTAGTAATAAAGCGACTATATTTTTTTTTCAATTATCTCTCACCATTAATAAACGAGTGATTTAAGGGGGTTAATCGTGTCGTGTAGTGTCATTTTCATATCGTATCATTTTTTATCGTGTTATTTTCGTATCATGTCACTTTTAATACATGTTGGATTCGTGTAAATAAAAAAATATTTAATTCGATAACAAGTAATATAATACTATATAAAAAATTATAAAATTCTTATTTTTTGTGTACAATACATATTAAATAATTATTTTTTTATCTATAGTACTCATTAATTGTGTTATTCATTTCGAATTTTAATTTAACCTATTTATTACTTGTGTCAACTAATAATGTTATTTTCAAATTTTGTGTTAAATTTGTATTAACCGATAAAATTGACACTCTTGACTTATATACTTGTATAGAATAAATTCCACTAAAATGTATAATAGACGATCTGTAAAAAAAAAAATATATGGGAGCGAATGTCCCTTCAGTACGAGGAGGGGCGTGTTTGTGTGTGTCTGTGTCGGCAGGGGAGTTGGGGGTAATGCACCTTTTTTTTTTTCATGGTTGTCTGTCACCTGTACTGAGACGGTCTAAAGGACACGTGATCATTAGCTTCTTTAAAAACATAAGACTCAATTTTATTCAATATACAACGATGCGTCCACAATTTTTTTGTTCTTTCATCATTTATTTACTTTTTTTTTTTTTTTTTTTTACTATCAACAACAATAAATACTTAGCTTCGTTTGATAGAGAGGATGAAAAGTATAAAATATACACTTTTATTTTTTTGTATTTGGTTGGATGGATAAAAAATAAAAATGAGTTTTTTTTTTTTTTTTTGTAATGGCTAAGATTAAGGGTGACAATCGAGTTGTGTCGTGTCAAATTCGTGTTGAATTATTACGGNTTATTTATACAAGACCTATATATATGATAAATAAGTCACGTCTTAGTGGAAATACCATAGTTCCATGACTAGTAATAAAGCGACTATATTTTTTTTTCAATTATCTCTCACCATTAATAAGCGAGTAATTTAAGGGGGTTAATCGTGTCGTGTAGTGTCATTTTCATATCGTATCATTTTTTATCGTGTTATTTTCGTATCATGTCACTTTTAGTACATGTTAGATTCGTGTAAATAAAAAAATATTTAATTCGATAACAACTAATATAATACTATATAAAAAATTATAAAATTATTATTTTTTGTCTACAATACATATTAAATAATTATTTTTTTATCTATAGTACTCATTAATTGTGTTATTCATTTCGAATTTTAATTTAACCTATTTATTACTTGTGTCAACTAATAATGTTATTTTCAAATTTTGTGTTAAATTTGTATTAACCGATAAAATTGACACTCTTGACTTATATACTTGTATAGAATAAATTCCACTAAAATGTATAATAGACGATCTGTAAAAAAAAAAATATATGGGAGCGAATGTCCCTTCAGTACGAGGAGGGGCGTGTTTGTGTGTGTCTGTGTCGGCAGGGGAGTTGGGGGTAATGCACCTTTTTTTTTTTCATGGTTGTCTGTCACCTGTACTGAGACGGTCTAAAGGACACGTGATCATTAGCTTCTTTAAAAACATAAGACTCAATTTTATTCAATATACAACGATGCGTCCACAATTTTTTTGTTCTTTCATCATTTATTTACTTTGTTTTTTTTTTTTTTTTACTATCAACAACAATAAATACTTAGCTTCGTTTGATAGAGAGGATGAAAAGTATAAAATATACACTTTTATTTTTTTGTGTTTGGTTGGATGGATAAAAAATAAAAATGAGTTTTTTTTTTTTTTTTTGTAATGGCTAAGATTAAGGGTGACAATCGAGTTGTGTCGTGTCAAATTCGTGTTGAATTATTACGGATTTGTGTCGAATATTAGTCAAACCTAACTTAACTCATTTAACTAATTGTGTCGTATTGAGTTGCGAGTTGACCTGTTTATTTTCGTATCAAATTCGAGTCGTATCATCGTGTTGAGTCGAAAATTTTTTACTTTTAGTTAAGATAAAAAAAAATTTAATACCTATAAATAAATAAACAGATATATATATATATATATATATATATATGTAAATAATAATTCACGGGAGTGCAAGGTCAGGAGTGAGGTCATCAACATCAAAGTCTTCTATTCCTTCATAAGGATCCTGAGCATATCCTGCTGGGAGTTCTGCTGAGGAAGATCCTTGGGAAGACGATGAGTCACATCTGAGTCAAGTTGCTCCAAGAGTTTCTTAAGGAGCTTTGCCTTGGACTTCTTCTTGCTGGACTTCTTCTGAGAGCCTTTAGAACCTTTGGATGAAGATTCTGCTGACTGGGCTTGTGTCACNGGAGCTTTGCCTTGGACTTCATCTTGCTAGATTTCTTCTGAGAGCCTTTAGAACCTTTGGATGAAGATTCTGCTGGCTGGGCTTGTGTCATAGGAAGGTTAGCCTGGCTTGATTGAGCGGGCAGTTCCTTCAATGGCGTTGCTGGTTGTAAGGGACCTAGAACTACTACTGGAATTGGTACCCTTACAGGGAAGTCTTGTTTCACCATTGTGATAATGTCACTATGTTGAAACCTGGGCCACCATTTGGCATAGAATTGTCGGGTTAAATTGAATCCCACAATTTCCCATTGCCATTTGAGTATCCACGGGACTTTGTACCTGCAAAAAAATATTAGTAATAAGGGTAATGGGGACTCCTGTTTACTAGGACAGTAAAGGGAGTAAAAGATCTTAATCTGATCTTTAAGATCAGCTGGAAAGATTTCATCAATGGGACCATGTTGATGCCACCACTGATTAAACCATGCAGGAATATGACTTTTGAAATCTTTATGGAAATTTAAGAACCAGGAATGGGACAAATCCTCATTCTGGTAGAGTAATATTTTTGACCATGACTCAATGTAGTCATAGTAATTGAATTGTCTGGTGTGAAAAGGAAGTTCTCGGAG